TATCAGAAGGCGAGTTCTTTGGGAGATGATTAGGTCATGAGTGAAGATCCCCTATGAATGAGATCAGTAGTTTTATAAAAGAGATTCCAGAGAGACCCTTGTCCCTCCACACGGTGAGAAGCTTCCATTTATGAACAACAAATCAGTCCATCACCAGACACTTGAATTTGCCAGCACCTTGATCTTGGACTTTCCAGCCTTCAGAACTGTGAGAAATAAAATTCTATTGTTTGTAAGTCATTAACTTTGTGGCATTTTGTTATAGCAGTCTGGACAAAGCAGCATCTCACAGTTTATCTTCTCTAAAATCAAGTGTAAGAAAATTACTCCACCATAATCATCGTATATCTCTACAGAAAGGAGAGAAAGAAGTGAAATGATTATGTGCATTACTGAGGTTTAAAAAATGTTGCTGGAGGAACTACTTTGGGTAATTAAAATGAAAGCCCACCCCCAACTCCCATTCTGAATTATTCAAACTAATGCCTCAATTTTCCAGTGTGTTTTAAAAATTCATTTATAGGATTGAATAGAAACCAGGCATTCCACAGCCTCTCTGTAGCCAAACTATTTCCAAAAACTGAGATGCTGATGATGAATCGGGCAGAAAAACAGAAAGCTACTTTTCTTTTTATGGTACTGGGATTTGAATGGAAGGCCTCGCACTTGCTAGGCACGCACTCTACCACTTGAGCCAAACTCCTAACCTCACCCCTTTTCTTTGCTTTAGTTATTTTTCAGATAGCATCTCCTGGATTTTCTTTCCCTGGGGCCAGTCTCAGACAGTGATCCTCCTACCTATGCCTCACCATAGTCTGTCACCAGGTGACAGATTCACCTGGCTTGTTTGTTGAGATTGGTCCTGCTAACTTTTTGTCTGGTCTGGCCTCAAACCATGATCCTCCCAATCTCCACCTCCCCAGTAGCTGGGATTATAGGCATAGTCACTGTGCCTGGAAGAAAGCTAGTTTGCTGATTTGAAAATATCAGTTCTAGATGAGAAAAATCCTTCTAAAACTTACATGTTACACAAGTGTTCTACCACTGAACTACATCCCCATTCTGAGAAAATCCTTTCTAAAAGTCCTTTACATTTATAACCTTCCATAGCCTAAAAGTTGCATCATTGTAACCTATTCCAAAAGATTTGGGGTGTTGCAGTTGAGGCATGATGTGACAATTCTATGGCAAAAATCTGCCTTCTCCACCCCAATTTCAGCTGCCCAAAGTCCCAGTAGGCAAAAGTAGGTAGAAAGGACAATAGGGTCAAATATATAGCAGATGGAATTAATGTGATGAAATTATGTGTGGCAGAGAGACTTGTATCCATAATTCAAAATTCACCATTATATATGTTCAAGTCATTTGATGCTGGTGTACCTTTTCTTTCTTTTTTTTGGCAACACTGAGGTTTGAACTCTGGGCTTCATGCTTGCTCAGCAGGCACTCTACACTTGAGCCACTCTACAAGCCCTTTTTTGTGATGGGATTTTTGAAGATAAGGTCTCACAAACTATTTTTCCAGGCTGGCTTCGAACCACAATCCTCCTGATCTCTGCCTCCTGAGTAGCTAGGATTACAGGTGTGAGGCACTGGCACCCAGTTGGTGTATCTTTTAACAGCCAATATAGGAGAGGTGAGAAAATGGAATATTTAGCAAAACTATCCTTTGTTTTCTGATTTGCTTCACCTATTCTTTACAATTTTTCTAAGATCTAGGCAATTCTAGAAAATACATACTGTATTTTCTGTTACCATTTATTTTAAGTTAAAATAAACTAGACTGGAGGGGTAAAAGTAGGAGGGTTGTCATCTGGGCAATAACCTGGGCAAAACAGTGAAACCCTAAGTGAAAACTAACTAAAGCATAAAGGGCTAGGGGCAGGGTTCAAGTAGTAGAGAACTTGCCTAGCAAGCACAAGGCCCTGAGTTCATATCCTCCATACTGCAAAATAAAGGAAGTTGGAAGTAAGGGAGGGAGGGAGGGAAAGAGGGAGGGATGAAGGAAGGAAGGAAGGGGAAGTTAAGGTCCAATTTCTAGTCTCAATACTCTTTATGCATTAAAAAGTGGTATGAAATAAGAGGAATTTCCTCACCCCAACTGTTTGAGTTTGCTTCCCAGTCAGTACAGCAGTTGTCTTCCTGAGCACTAGGTAGAGCTCTTAGAGTAGCATGTGAAATATGATCCAGAGGCCACACAAGGAGCAGCCTAAAAGAGTGACTTAACTGACAAATACTGTCTACTATACTCAACAATTACTCAAAATGAAAAAGGGAGAGAAAAAACACAAACATTGTATGTTGGATATTCAAAATGCACTTTTTATTCACTTTAACACAGATGATTTTTTTACAATTGAAAGAAAATATCTAATACACAATTTAGAGATTTTTAGCAGCACCTGCAACAAGAGGATTGTGGAATACCTCAGGATAGAGATGGCTGAGACAGGCACAAATAAACCTGAAATTCATCAATCCACTGAAGACATATGGAATCTGAGGCCCCTTCAAAGTTAGCCAATATATTACAATAAACTAAATAAACATTTTGTATGATGTTTTCGTGGACCACTGAAAAACAGAATATTTCTAATTAGAAATATATTATTTCAAAACTCTAGTGTTTATTAAAAAACACCTATTGAAAATATTGCACTGCACATTCTAGGGTACATAGGCAATTTCTAAACCTATATGCATATCCTGGCACTCACAGATTTCAGCCTTTAGTGTTTTTAATCTTATGCAAACTATAAGTCAGCACCCACTGAGTGTTAATCACCAAAATACCACTTTTGTGTCACTTAATATTAAGTGCTTTCATTAAGATGTTGTGTAGTAATTTGGCAGGAAAAAAATGGCTGGCTATAAAGAAAGGGGCTTCAGTGACCTGCCGATGAAATTAACACTTGTCTTGGATGGACAGGATGCCTATGTACTCTTTTTACTCAAATGACCACATGCCACTCTAAAGAGACAAGTAATTTTGTGAGTTGATGGAGGTTTTTATGAAGGCCTGAGATCTACATATAGAAACTATTATAAGCAGTGCGCAAGTAGAAAGAGAAGGCCCCAGTTCTCATGCACTTAAAAATAATTAGCTTTTAATAGTTCTGACATACAGATTTTCACCTTAACATTACAGCAAAATGATCATAGAACTTGGAAGCCAGTGTGGCTGGCTATAGGCATAGGCAAGATAGGAACCAATATTTAAGAGCTGTGGGGTGCCAGTTCTGGCTTTGACTTCTGGCAGCAAAGTTAACTGGACAATGGGGTCAGGACTATATCTTAATTGGAAATACTGAGTATGACTAGGTTGAAATACTGTCCTCCTCTCATGTATGTGGCCAAAAAGTCCCAGAGCTCTTAAAGCACATAGGTCCTACATGTAAGGCTGATTCCATATGTGGCTACAATGGAGAGTTCTAGGCTGTATTCCTGTGAAAGCTCCCACTCCCTCCTAGGTCTCTTTTGGGGGCCATGTCTAACTGTCCCTCATGATGGTGGGTCACAATTTTTATCACAGATGTTTTAAAGCATAGATTAAAAACTATGCGGGACAAACATATCAACCAACAAGAACCAGACTGCATCCTTATAGCACAGCATATAATTGGCAGTCATGGTAATCAAAAAATTTCAAACCATTGTTTCGAATATGATATCTTTAGGATGTTTATAACAGAGCTTCAGAATTTTTCCTCCCATGGTGCAAAAGCAAAAAGAAGAGCTACGTAGTTGCTGTTAAAGGCTGATCATAGAATGGCTTGAGAATTCTTAGTCCCTCTCCATAGTCTTAGCTATTAATCTGCAGATAAATCTAACCATAACATGGCACTGACATAGTTTAGAAATTCACAGAACTTAGAGCTGGAAGAGACCCTATACTAAACATGTAGCCAGTACGGAAATTCTTTTTCTGGTATTTCAACAGATGGTCATCCAGTAAGTATTTCCACTGGCAGGGAGCTCACAATTAAGGCAGTCTGTCCCACTCTTGAACAACTCTAATTATGACAATTTCATTCTAACACAAAGTTAAAATATGCTCTTTTGTCACTTTCCATGTCCTAGTTTGGCTGGCTGAATATATGGTGCAACATATAAGAAATCAGTTCCTTCTTCTAAAATAAATATTTGAGTCAAGGAATCTTGTAAGGAAATCATTTCTGAAGCCTTCTTTGTGAGCCAGCATGGTGAAGCAAAGGGCCGTCTAAATTATGAGCAGAGAGCACTGCACCCAAAGCCATATACTGAGCAGCATTGCTAAATTGATAAGAGGTTGTCAGAGAAGCAACATTTCTATGCAGCAACAGTAGACTTAAAAGGAAAAGTGGACCAACCACTTATTTGCAAGGGTGGTTCACATATTTGAGCATAATCCATTCACTAGTGTCCTGTGACTTCAAATACAAGGATTATAATCAATTTCCAGTGTCATTAGAGTAACTCTTATTGAGATGGTATTTTTTGAAAAGCTCAGGTGGGAGTAAACCATACATAAAGACTTAAACAAGTCAATGTATATCATACTTTTAAACTCCTAATCATCACAGACTCTTTATAATTTGAGCTTAGGAATCCCTGTTTGCATTATTATTTTTATTGTAGTACAGCCCAGAGATTTATTTTTTCCCTTTGGCAGAAATGTCAGAAACTGCTTGGCAAGAGGCTTATGGTGACATTTGCTAGCTGATTAATGGAATGCGTTAAAGGATAGCTGTTTAACTCCTTCATGCGGCTGGGTTCTAGGCTTAAACTGTGATTTTAAAAATATTTAAATCTCTCAGGACTTAAACTTTCTCAACTGTCCTGAGACACACAAGAAGGGAAAATAGCATAAATCACACAAAAATACACTTGGCTCAATAAAGCTCTTTTTTTAAAAAAAAAAACTTCATTTTGAAAGGCTCTGTTTCACAATAGAACCTTATCTCTTACCCTTTTGTGTGTATGTGTGTGTGTGTGTGTGTGTGCGTGTGCACGTGTGTGTGTGTGTGTGTGCACTCTCAGAGAAGCACAGTAATTCTTACACTACTGACAATTGGGCACATGTTTTAAAGGCTTCCTACTTTTAACAGCATGAAGAACCTGCTTTGGAGCCACTATTCAAGTCAATGGTGTGACCTAACATGCAATGCTCTAACTGTTCCTCTACAGCCAACACCTGTCTGACAGCTTCTTCAAAGGCCACTGTCACATTAGTATCATCTTTGGCACTTGTTTCTAGATAAGGGTAATCCCCATTCTCCATGCACCAGGCTTGTGCCTCCTCAGTAGTCACTTGCCTATCCTCTTTGTCTACCTTGTTACCCAGAACTACAAAGGGAAAATGCTCAGGGTCCTTCACATCTGCATAGTAGATGAATTCTTTTTGCCAGTTACCAAGGTTCTCGAAGCTCTGACGATCATCCACACTGAAGGTCAAGAGGCAGCAGTCTGCTCCCCTGTAGAAGGGTGTCCTAAGGCTCTTGAAACGTTCCTGCCCTGCAGTGTCCCAGATCTGGAGGGTTACAAAGCGTCCATCTACCTCCAGATCTCGATTTAAGAATTCTACACCTATGGTGTGAAAAGCCTGGGAATCGAACTTATTGGTTACATAACGGTTCATAAGTGAGCTTTTCCCAACTCCACCATCACCCAAGAGAATGACCTTTAAGAGCAGGGATTTCCCACTCATTGTTGCAGCACCAGATGGGGAGGAGTTTGTAACCAAGAGAACCTGAAAACAAATGAAAAAGTAGGAGGGAAAAGAGTTAAACCTGAAACTAAAATCAACTTCATAGCAAATTTCTCTAAATTATGAAGCCCTCTAATTTAGTTTTTCTTGATTTATGCTCATTAATTGATGGAGAACAACAAAAGAAATAAAACTCCTTTTTTGTAGAAGGGGGGAAGTTGGTCTGTTTTTTCCTGAAGTGTCTTGCCTGTGTCAAGAAAATGTCTGAATTCCATGAGTAAACCAACTAGCAGATGGTCCTGTAATTTGGTTCAGTTCTGACTCTTTTCTAGGGGAGAGAGCCTAAAATAAGAATGCCATTAAAATGTGTGACCTTATTAGCTTCTGGTTTGGACAGTTCTAAACAAGACGTAAATAGTATGAAATAATCTGGGGGTGGAGGTTTGCTCCCAAAGGACCCAAGAAGTATTGAAGAGAGAAAGTTGTGTAAGCTGGATACTCGATTCTGTCTGTAGAGATGTGGGTACAATTCAACTGGACCCCAGAATATGGAAGAAAACAAAAGGTCAAGTTTCTTCAGGCATTAACTCTGTTGTACTTGCCTATAAATGGATACCCTTACAAGCAATGAATCTGTTATAATCTTTCCTTTATGATACAATGGCACTTAAGTTGGTGTCAATTGACGGATACCAACATAACAGATATTATTAGGGATAAAAATCTTGAATAGCTTATTAGTTTTTGAATTTAGGCTCTAATTCCACATGTAAGAAAAGTTATGGTAAAATCAAAAGCAATCGTAATTATACAGTACCTTTCTTGCTACCTCCGCAAGAGGTAGCAAGAGTAGTCTACACAAAGACTACTTAGAATACATATTAAAATAAAAAGATCAAATGTCTACTGAACAAGTACTTTTCACTGTATTCTGTTAGGTACTTTCATACTATGTCCACAAGTGGGAATTTAACAATGATCATATTAATTGTAATTGGGTAATATTTATTCAAGAGAATCAAAGGGGTGAAAACTAAACACTAATCAAAGGAGTACATGAAAAAGAGCTTCTGGAAGCACACTTAAAATGTCATTTTAAAAAATTCAGTAGTTCTTAAAATTATTTTGGTGAGTATGTTTACTATTTTTCTAAATATTCACTTTTAAGAAATAAAATTTAAAGTATCAAGATTCATAGTGTGCCCACATGAAATACCTACCCAGTTGGGTTTAGTCACAATTCACAATTTTAATCTTTTTTCTTTTTTCCTGTTGTTGCTTTATTCTTTCTTTTTAGGGTTCTATAAAACAGAATGGGAAAGATTATTTTAAAAATCTATAACAAAATACAGGTAAAGTTACACATAAAAACGCATTCAAGTCAGGGAATAAATCCCACAGCAACCTCAAGTAACCTATGGAAAATGGTTTTCACAAATACATTTAAGAGTTCAAAGTACTATAGATGTTGAACACAAGCAAAACAATTTTATTGCCTTAACTTTAACTTGTCTTAATTCGAGTGTGCTTTATATGATATTTGATTTTTCAAAAAAGTTTTATGTTGTCATTTCACTGAATTCTCCATTTGAGGTAAAAGTAAGTCAAAGAAAGGAGGTGATATTCAGGAAAAAGAAAGCATAGAGGAATCTAAGATATGTTGAAATCTTAAGTCAGAGATGAAGCTCCTTCCCACTTCACAATATGTTCTTTAGGCTAATTATTTTATTCATTAATTTAGGCTATCTATCTTGAACACAGGTTTTAATATTTAGCCGGCTTCATTAAATTGAAACACATCTTCATTTAATATAATAGCTAATTGTTGCAAGAGTCTTATTGAAGCAATATCAACAGTACTGGTCGAATACTAGGCATGGTGGCACAAATCTGTAATCCCAACTACTCAGGAAACAGAGATCAGAAGGATTAGGAAGATCAAAGTTCAAGGCCAACCCAGGCAAAAAGTTACTGAGACACCCATCTCAATAAACTGGATGTGGTGGTGCATGTCTGTAATCCCAGCTACATGGGAAGTGTAGGTAGGAGAATGGTGATCCTAGACCACCCCCGAGCAAAACCTTGAGACCTTATCTGAAAAATTACTAAAGCAAAAAAGGCCTGGGGACATGCTTACCTCTAGGAAACACAATGCCCTCATTCAAACCCCAGTATTGCTAAAAAAATAATACTAGTCCAAAAAAACGTTCCTAGACCTGTTGAATGTTCTCTCTTATTGAAGAATAAAGAAGCTTTTTAAAAAATCTACTGCTTAATAATCTCATGTTATTTCTTCTCAAAAATAATCTCAGATTCATTAGCTACATAAATCAGTAATCAAAAATTTAAATAGTATCTCCTAAATTATTAGGCTTTAATCCTCTTTCTTGGTCTATATGTAGTCTACAGAATTCTCAAGCTTCCTAAAATTCCTGATTTTTTTGTTCTCTCTCTCTCTCTCTCTCTTCCTTTCTCCCTTCCTCCCTCCCTCCCTTCCCCCTCTCATCCTTCCTTCCTTCCAGTTTGTGTGGTGCTGGGGAATGGAACCCAGTGCCTCAGCATGCTAGTCAACCACTCTATCACTGAGCTACACCCCCAGATCACACTTCTTTAATTTTTTATACTGATCTATAGTTTAATTTCATAGTTCGGACTCTGGTTTGTTGTTGTTGCTGTTGGTTGGTTGGTTGGTTGGTTGGATTTTGTTGTTGTTGTTTCTTGTTTTGAGACAGGGTCTCACTATGTAGTCAGGCTGGCCTTGAATTTGTGATCCTCCTGCCTCATCCTCTCAAGTGTTGGAATTGCAGGTGAGCATCACTACACCTGGTCCAGTGCAGAACTCTTGAGTCCTTGAACTCTTACTTTAGAAAAGTAATAGGAGGAAGTACAAACTTGCATACAGTACTGATGGTTAGTATTGAAGGTGCATGTCAACTGAGTTTCCTTAGTTCCTTACAAACGGGTATTCACATCATTAAATGACTCACTAACCCTACATTCCCAGCTGTGGATAAACTCAATAGATGGGTCAAGGACTGAGTGAATATGAAAATTAAATGCTCAATGCCAGGAATAATGATGAAGTATTAATAACTAGCTGAGATAATACTCCAGTTGCTTATGCATACCCTATTTGGTTATGTGCACACATAGCTTCTGGAAACATTGGCTCTGTGCCAGGGAAAAGGAAGAAAAGCAATGTGATTCAGTATTGAAAGCACTTGACTGGAAGCAATCAGGACATCAGGATCTTCCTTGCTGCTACCCATTCATTTATTTTATGAACTTGGTCATGTTATTTAATCTTTCTGTTTTCAGTATTGTTCTATATAAAAACAGAGCTGATAATATCTTCCCTACCTAACTCTCAGGATCTGGGGGAGAATAACTTATGAAGTTTGTAAAGATTTGTAAGCATTTATTGAAAATTTTGGTATGAGTTTTGTTTCTGTTGCCTCTCCACTGGTGGGGCCCTGTGCCTCAGTATTAACCCTTCTCATGAAAGGCCTGCTCATGGGAGGCTAAGAATTCCTTTTTTTTTCTCTTTTTTCTTACCCAACAATGCCCTGTTTCCCACCAACAATTTTGAGCATTTCTCATGGCACAGAATCTCAGCATTGGAGGGAGCTTAAGGATCATCTGATACAATCCTACTACTGTTGTTTGAGAAAACATTTGAGTGCCTGTTGTGTGCTGTGTCCTTACCAAGGTGATCCTCTAACCCTTTGCTGTCTCCAACTCCCATTTTCTTGCTAGAGGTAGAAATGAATGCAATTTAGGCTTTTCTCCTTGCCTTCAGTCACTAAACCCTACTGATTTCCCCTCCAAATTCCCTTTTCAAGCCCTCTGTTTCCATCTTGCTATATTGCCCAGGATGACCTCAAACTTCCGGCTGGGCTCAAGCAATTGATCCACTTCTACCTTCAAGTAGATGGGACTACAGGCATGAACAACTGTGCCTAGCTCCATCGTGATTTTGACTCACATTTTCTCATTTCTAATTTATCATGATAGCTTCCTGTCTCTTCTTTCCTCGCAGAATCTACTTTGCAAAACATCCCATGCACACCCATTGGATGAAGGTATGGCTGGAAATGCATAAATGTTTAAGGTTAGGACTTGTCCTCAAGGAGTTTACAAATTAACATATAAGCTAATGATCTCACAGTAGGGCTGGGGATGTAGCACAGTGGGGGAGGGCTTACCTAGCATGTGTGAAGCCCTGGGTTTGATCCTCAGGAGGGTTTGATCTCTCAGTAGTGTAATATGAAATGTAACTACTGTCTACAATAATCATGATATATTTTACAATAACTAGAAGAGTATGAGAGTTCCTAACACATAGAAATGATTAATGTTTGAGGAGATAGAAGGGCTTATTACCCTGATTTGATCACTACACATTATACACATGTATAAAGTTACCATATTGTGCAGGTGCCAGTGGCTCAGGTCTGTAAATCCTTGCTACTCAGGAGGCACAGATCAGGAGGATTGCAGTTTGAAGCCAGCCTGGGCAAATACTTTGTGAGCCCCTACCTCTAAAAAACCCTTCACAAAAAAGGGCTGATGAGGTGGCTCAAGGTGTAGGCCCTGAGTTCAAACCCCAGTATTGCAAAAAAAAGTTATCATATTGCATTCCATGAATGTCCAAACATCATGTCTCAATTAAAAAACCCTCATTATTTAGAGTTAACATTTTATTAACATACTGCCTGATTTTGTTAACAAATTTTTTCTAAGTATGTCTTTCCTATACCCCAATTTAAAATTCCTGAGTAGTAAGACCCCTGTTTGTATATGTCTCTGAAGCTTCTTCAGCATGCAGTACCAGAATCCTTCATAGAGATAATAAATTTATTTATAATAACGGATTAGGTAAGTGAACAGAATTAATGCTTCTGAATTGTCGCCAAGGTATAATGGAGCCATAATTTTGTAAGATGTTCAAATATTACTATATATAAGGTGACGAAAATATATTATGAACTTATCTGGATCACTTTCGAGACAGGACTTAACAGGAATTCCACCTGTTGAAAGTCAATGGAAATGCTCCAGTTCCCTTCCCCTATGCTCACATTTTAAAATTCCCAATAATATCTCAATTTCTACAAAAAAGCAAGAGCAGAATAATTATATCCAGTTTATATTTTTAGTAGATTCTGTCATCCCTACTATCATTCATAATTATCTGAAAATGAGTGTAATATTCTTAAGTACATACTTAGATTAGAAAATAGCTAGCATGGTCTAAAAATTGATGAAACAAAATTTTCTCCCCCAGAATATGCCGAATTTAATCCAAACTTAAAACGAAGAAGGCATTAAGCAGGCAAAGATCTTCTTTGATAATCATAAATATATTTAATAGGAAACACAAATTCTGCATGCATCCCTTATGGGTCCCACATCAGGGTAGGACTTGGGCCAATTTTTTTCTTTTTTCTTTTTTTCAGTGCTGGGGATCAAACCTATGGCCTCTTGTATCCAGTTCTTCATTGAGCTGCACCCCTTTCTCATTCAGAGAAATAGCTGGCTTTGACCCAAATATCTGAGATACAATTCCCTTTGCTACCCTACTCAACAGATTAACAAGCATTCTCTAAGAATAGTTTTATTCACTTCTTTTAAAATTAGGACCTCAATCTTGGGACAGTAAGGTAATTGGGAAGTCACAATAACCAATACTCTCAGCTCTTTGTTCTCTGACACACTTGAAACCTTATGAATTTGCTGTGCCTGTACCCACACAGGCTTATTAAAATTATTGTATTTAGTTGGAAATGCTTGGGAGTGGGGGTGGAGATGAGGGTGGAGGCAGCACACTGAAGAGAAAGGTTGAAACTTCGGGGAAAAAAATCATATGATTTAGTGTGAAGATGTAGAGAAGAGAGGCAGGGAGCAAATTGGCAATGTCAGTTCAGTTGCCATGGGGTACAATAATGCTCAAAATCAGTAATGCAGATTGTTTGGGAGCCAGTCTTGACAGAGATGTGTACTGCAGGACTGGGCGGGGGAAGCGCAATCAGGGAGGGCTAGACAGTGGATGAGAGTGGCCCTGATTGAAGTCTGCACAGGGGAGGAGCCACAGTTGGAGCTGTGGGGAAAGGTCATCTTGTGGCGACACACTGATTAGGGTCATTCAACTTACTGTTGAATCCTAGCACAATATTCAGAAATACTGCACTGGAGAATTGGACGTGTCTTTCTGTAATGAATGTAAAAATCAACACAAATAAGAAGTGGTTGGATCTTTAAGACACTAACTTAAACGGTGTAGGCTGCATCCGATACAACCTGATGCTTGGTTGTGGTGTTGGAGGTTGTTCCATAGCAGGGAAGCCCTCTGATGCACTAGATTCATTTTGCAGAGCCAAAGAGTTATCAACTACATCCATGCTGTGAGTCTAGATGCCACAGCCGTCATGCCACTGAAACGCTATTCCTACCTTCATGCCCACATTTATATTTTATATCCAACTTGAAGGGTCCAATGTGGAATTTCATGTCCAATCTTTCACTCCTCACAACAACTCTGAGGCTATAAACCTAAAGACACACTACATTGTAATTTGGTACTGTCCCCAGGCCACTTCTCCAGTACACCGCCTGGAGACAAATAAGGTAGGTTAAGGTTTTGATGACATAAAACCAGCTTCCTTAGGCGACCAGGAATGCTGGCATCTCTATGACAGAGGCAGTGTTAGCATTGGGGACTTAGAAAGTGAGATGTCACTCACATTCCCAACTACCTCAGATACAGGTCCTCTCACCTCATCCCCAGCTCTGAGTAAATGAGGCTGTGGCGCATGCGCACTGAGCCACACCCGCTCCCCACGGAGCCCTGTGCCTCTCTGCTGGGCTTTGGCAGCCACTCCAGATTACTCAGCAACGCCCCCCTCCACCATCACCTACCCCCAACTCCGACCCCAGCTGCTCCTAGGCCCCTTTCCAGAGGTGCGAGTGTCCCCGGAAATCAACCTAGTGCGTCCTTTCTCCCTCTCGCCAACAGGCCGCCACCTCCTGGCCTCCCGGGTCCGCCAGCCCAAGCCCCTCGTCCTGCCACGCACGGGCACCTTACCCAACACAATGGGAAGGAGAAAGGAGAGGCAGCGGGTGCCGGCAGGTCAGCTCTCGGCCTCTGGTCTGGCTCTGGGCGACACGGTCACCGCTCCTGCTGCCGCCTCGTTCCTCAATGGGGCAGCAAGTGCAGCTTGGACCTCGGTGGCCTGACAGCTGCCGCTCGCTCCCGCCGCTGCCCGCCGCGCCCAACGTCTCGAGCCCGCGCCCGCCAGGGGAGGGGGCCGGGGCCCGCGCCGCCTCCTCGTGCCACCCTTTCTTGGGCGCTAAGGCACCCGCGTCGTAAGCTGCCTCCCACCCTCCAAGGTGGAGAATGCTCCCCTGGCTGGCTCGCTCTTCCTTCATGCTGTCAGTGTCCAACCGCTGGTCTCCACCTGTTCTTCCCTAACTGTCCCTAGCTGATTAAGAAAGGCAAGCGACAATGGACCATCAAATAGCGCTTAGCTCCTCTACAGACTAAGGGCCTAAAGCCCCTCAGGCAGAAGATAGCCATAGCCCCATTTCCTGAAATAGACTTCTACTTAACTTCCTTTACCAGAGCCCCAAACCCTTTCATATTTTGCCAAAAGAGATAGCACATACACCCTCGTCTTTTCAAAATAACCCAGAAAAACACAAGATCACAACACTATAGGCCCTGTCGGTGGCTACTGCTCAATGGATATTCTCATGACGATCCAAAAGGAAAGGTCCCGCATCGTCCGCTCATACATAGATGACACATGTCCTTTACTACAGAAAAAGCATTGCTTGACATTCCAGGAATTAGTAGAATCCAATTGTTTCCAAAACTGTGCGGCTAGTTGCTGAACTAGTTCTTTTTTTGTTCTTATCCTGTAGCCCCTCTGTACTTTCAACTAGTTTGTCATTTTTTTCCCTCCTAGGATCAAAGGAAACCAATCTGAGACAATTTAACCCTGAACTTTCACCTATCTGTCAGAACCAGTCGTTTCTGTGCCTCTGTATTCCTCTGTGCCTTATGGTAAATGACCCTCACTACAAGTGCCCTTAAAGCCCTTCCACACATTGCCCTCCTGCATCTAGGCCAATCTCCTGCCTTTTCACAAAGCCAAAACTACTCAATCAATCTCCTTAATGCCCCAGTTTAAAATGTCACTTTCTCACTATAACCTTCTCCCACAATCTCGGAAAAGAGTCAGTGCCGTCAATTTAATTCTTTTTATAGCTTCCTATAGGTATAGTAAAAGTAATATTTCTGTACTCATAACACTTATCATTTTATGATGATTTTATTTCACCTCTATTATTATTTGGTTGAAACAGCTAAATCCTCCCCTTAAACTATATTGCACTCTACATCAAATACTGTGACTGTTTAGGCTCACCATCATACCCTCAGAACATAGGTGTATAAGCCGTAAACAGAAATATTTATTGAATATGAATGAATGCTGTATCATCAATGAATACTGATATTTTAAAATAAAAATAAATGGATCAAGTGGAATCCTTTGTGCTCCTGGTTTAAAGCAGCTCTGCTTCACTCACAAGAATACTATAACAATCTTCTGGCACAGAGATGATACAATCATCTAAATTAATTTTTTACTCACATATTCTAATCTGCAATAAAAGAAAATGATCAGGCATGAGTGCTGCTACAGTTTGGACATGGTTTGTCCTCCAACACTCATATGCTGGAAGCTTCATCTCTGATATGGTGGTGTTGAGGTGGTGGAAACTTTAAGAGGTAGGGCATATGGAAACACAGGAAGCCACTAATAGCCAAGGCAATACGCAGTCAAAAGAACAATGCAGGAGGTATCACAATACCTGACTTCAAACTATATTGCAAAGCAATAACAATAAAAACAGCATGGTACTGGCACAAAAACAGACATGAAGACCAGTGGAACAGAATAGAGAACCCAGATATAAAGCCACAACACTATAACCAACTTGTCTTTGACAAAGGAGCTAAAAAATATACGATGGAGAAATAGCAGCCTCTTCAACAAAAAACTGCTGGGAAAACTGGTTAGCAGTCTGCAAAAAACTGAAACTAGATCCATGTATATCACCCTATACCAAGATTAACTCAAAATGGATCAAGGATCTTAATATCAGACCACCAAACTCTAAGTTTGATACAGGAAAGAGTAGGAAATACTCTGGAGTTAGTAGGTATAGGTAAGAACTTTCTCAACGAAACCCCAGCAGCACAGCAACTAAGAGATAGCATAGATAAATGGGACCTCATAAAAGCTAAAAAGCTTCTGTCATCAAAAGAAATGTCTCTAAACTGAAGAGAACACCCACAGAGTGGGAAAATATTTGCCAGCTATACATCAGACAAAGGACTGATAACCAGAATATATAGGGAACTTAAAAACTAAATTCTCCCAAAACTAATGAACCAATAAAGAAATGGGCAAGTGAACTAAACAGAACTTTCTCAAAAGAAGAAATTCAAATGGCCAAAAAACACATGAAAAAATGCTCACCATCTCTAGCAATAAAGGAAATGCAAATTAAAACCACACTAAGATTCCACCTCACCCCTGTTAGAATAGCCATCATCAGCAACACCACCAACAACAGGTGTTGGTGAGGATGCAGGGAAAAAGGAACCCTCTTACACTGTGGTGGGAATGTAAAACTAGTACAACCACTCTGGAAAAAAATTTGGAGGCTACTTAAAAAGCTAGACATTGATCTACCATTTGATCCAGCAATACCACTCTTGGGATATACCCAAAAGACTGTGACACAGGTTACTCCAGAGGCACCTGCACACCCATGTTTATTGCGCACTATTCACAATAGCCAAGTTATGGAAACAGCCAAGATGCCCCACCACTGACGAATGGATTAAGAAAATGTGGTATCTATACACAATGGAATTTTATGCAGCCATGAAGAAGAACGAAATGTTATCATTCGCTGGTAAATGGATGGAATTGGAGAACATCATTCTGAGTGAGGTTAGCCTGGCCCAAAAAGACCAAAAATCGTATGTTCTCTCCTCATATGCGGACATTAGATCAAGGGCAAACACAACAAGGGATTGGACTTTGAGCACATGATAAAAGCAGCACACAAGGGAGGGGTGAGGATAGGTAAGACACCTAAAAAATTAGTAGCATTTGTTGCCCTTAATGCAGAGAAACTAAAGCAGATACCTTAAAAGCAACTGAGGCCAATAGGAAAAGGGGACCAGGAACTAGAGAAAAGGTGAGATCAAAAAGAATTAACCTAGAAGGTAACACACGCACAGGAAATTAATGTGAGTCAACTCCCTGTATAGCTATCCTTATCTCAACTAGCAAAAACCCTTGTTCCTTCCTATTATGGCTTATACTCTCTCTACAACAAAATTAGAAATAAGGGCAAAATAGTTTCTGCTGGGTATTGAGGGGTGGGGGAGAGGGAGGGGCAGAGTGGTGGGTAAGGAGGGGAGGGGCAGGAGAAATGACCCAAAGCCTTGTATGCACATATTGAATAATAAAATAAATAAATAAATAAATAAAAGAGGT